AGAGAGAGAGCTAGAGATAGAGACAGAGATAGACATATGTAGAAATTGAAAAAGAAATGGATATCTATAACGTGAAAAATAGAGCGAGAGAAAAACTGAAAAAGAAACATAACAAGCGCCACGGAAAGTGGAGATCGAAATGGATTTGTTCTTACTAAATGACAGTATGTGTACTCAAAAAACTTGAAGCACTTGTTCTGGTTTTGAAAAGCTATTATAAAATTATTCTCCGCCTGTGATCTATTTTTCGTTCTTTGGGTCCACATTCAAATGGTCATCCCTAGCGCACATCACTTTTGCATTCATCAGATGAGCATATCTTGCCGTTTAAAGCAATTTAATTCCTTTTTAAAAAGACTGCAAAACTTTGTGCCACCAAATCAGAAGTTTCTGATGAGTGTGGCTTGCAAAATGTGGCATGTGGCAAAAACAAAATAACGCAGCTACATTTCTGCGCCCGCATGCATACGTGTATGCTATGTGTTTATTATGCTTTTGTGGCATGTGGCAAAGATAATGGTTTAAATTAGTTGTGCATGCAACAAAAGCCAATAAAACGAAAACGCTAACAACAAAAGCACACAATGTATGAACTGAGCAAGTGGCAAACACAACAACTCGCTCTATTGGGGGCGATAAGTTGCAAGGCAGAAAAAATAAAAAATGAAAAGAAACAAATTGTTGCGAAATTTCAAACAACTTTGAAATAATTTTACAGTTGCATGCCTGCAAATATGCAATGCAAATTTGTATGCACAGCGCATGGTACAATATGAGAGAGCGTATGTATGCGCTATGAAGTGAAAGTGCATGTGTGTGTTGAGCTGGCGGTCCATACGCAGACGAAGTCTAAAAGTAGATTATGCAATTGTGAAAATAATAACTGCAATTGCACACAAACTTTCTTAACAGTCATTACGCGAGCTTTTAAGGCAAGAAAGAGATAATAGTGCGGTTGGAGTAGGATTAATGTTAATCGGGTATATGCGCCTAAATGTTTGCTGCAAATTTTGGAAACTCGCTAAAATTTTTTCGACATGTTATGATTTTATCATGGGAATAAAAAAACTGTATACTAATGTATTTATATTTAGTTTGTTAGGGCCCTGCCCCTAAATGTATGCTATAAAATTGTTAAGGTGGTGTAGAACTGCAGACATATTTTACAGGATAACTTAAGTTTCTCGTTAATCTTAAAAAATTGACTAAAGTGTGCTTACAATGAATTAAGTAAGATTCCGCGCCTATATGTATACTATAAAAATTTATAAGGAGTTAAAAACCAGTACAAAATTTTATAAATTTAATAGCATTTATAATATTATCACACAAACCACGCGTATGCTATATTTTATCATACAATACAAGCTGCTTATACATAGGACTGAAAACTTTGTTTGAAATAGACTTCCAAAGAGTTTGTTAAGAATGTGCGTCTAAATGTATGCAACAAAAATCGGGAAGCTGATCGAAACTGGTAGATAATTTCATAGATATAAAAGTATTTATTACACATATCTTATAAACAATACTAAGGCTTTATTTTAACAGTTTTCTCAAGAACTCTTCCGTTTCTTCCCTCCACACCGAATTTTACTGCAGTGGAACTATATGGCATAATGTTTAATAAACATTTTATTTGCATTTTCTTTTTCTTAATTTATTTTTGTATTTTTTACTTCGCTTTGTCGACAAAACGAAAATTAATTAATTTGATTTCCTGCTTGCTGCTATGGCTGCCGCATCACAAATTCATATTTCATTGCGCAAATTGCGGCAAGCTCATGTTCTCTGCCATAGCTGCCTTTTAGTGCAAGCTTATTGTTCAGAAAATTTATTTACTACATATTTGCAAATCAAATGGCATACGCCACACAATTATGTAGCATAACTCTCTTTCTCTCTACGCCTTTTTGATGGTTGTGCACGTTTTTATGAGAATAACTGAATAAATGCAACAAAGGCTTGGTGGGCAACACTGCTCGCACAACCAAATAAAAGTCACTTAGAAATTTATTACGGTAAGGATAAACAAATACAAGTAAACTATAGTATATTTTTGGTGAAAAATTGTGAAATTTGATTACGTTGCAAATAATTGTGGTTATTCCAATGAAATATAGCACTCGTTCTAAATTAAATTCCATATAAGTTATAGCTGCTGAATAACAAAATTTCATGAAAAATAGAAAATAATTTTTTGTATAGTTCATTTTATTTGGTTTCGCAACTCTTGTAAAAGTATTAAAACAAGAAATCGATTTAATATTGATTCTAGCTAAGATTGTCATGCCAACAAGCATGCTTTCAGGCGTATTTTCGGAGTTTATATACCTTGTATTAGAGCATATGTGTGAGAAAGTTAGAGAGAGGGGAGTCCACTTACGTTTCTTCAGCTTCGAAAATTATGCAAATCTATGCTCCTTTAGCAGTATCACAAAGGCAAGTATTTTTATCACTACCTTATTTACTTATATATATGTATGTATATATATTAGGGTGGGTCAAAATAAATGGTACTCTGAGAAATAAGTTCTTAGACATTTCTACGAAAATCTCTTCAAGTACTAGCTCTTAATAGAAAGTGGACACTTCTCCGCAATGCAGCTTTCTATGCTTTGCTTTGAAAAATTTATATCTGCCAACTATTTGAAAAATATTCGGTTTCATACATTTGACGGGAAATGGAATGGTCTAGAGAAGGTTTCTTTTTTCGTAAACCTACACTCTTAAAAGATATAAAAGGTTAAAGATAGCTTATTTTAAGGAAAATATTTTTGAAATCAATTTTATAAGTCGACGAAAATAATCATTGTAAGTTGGTATTGATTTTACAATTTTAATTTTTCTTACCTTATTTTATTAGTATTTTTTTTCTCAATTTTTGACGTTGGGTATAAAGTATCCAATCTTTCAAGTTGGATGAAACAGGGTTCAATGTGCTTAATTATACTAAAATCGGTTCGGATATTTAAGAGTTAACCCCAAGCAAAATGTTACACGTAAGCTTTGTATAGATATACAGAAAATAATTAAGCTACATTTACTTTCTCGAAACTTACCATCGTCTTGTTCGTATTCTCTTTTCTTGTTTGAATGTCTGTTCGTTTTTGGATCCCTTTTTGGCTGATGTTGTTGCAATTGCTATTGTTTTTGTTTAGCTCATGTATTTTGCTTCCAAATTGCTTAGAACATTACACAATTGCACGCACGTGACTGCAAATAAAGATGAAATAAAATGGGGTAACTGTTAATAAAATCGTAAATGAGTAAGGAAGGTTGATATATACATATGAACATAAAAGCAAGCTTGAAAATAGTACTGTTACAGCTAGTTTTATATATGTATAACATATTGTATTTGCCATACTGATGTTAAAAAATGTCAAATAAACGCAGTTTTGAAAGCTTTTAGTGTTTTTTATTTATTTTTTTATTTTTATTTTTTTTTTATTTTTTTCATAAATTTTTTTTTTTTTTGTAAGCTAACTCCGAAGTTAGTCAAAGCTTGGTACCCATAACTTGAACGAATATCAATTACACCGGGAATATATTCTTATTTCCGATTTCAGATATTTTATCTGAATATTGATCAAAGCTTTATAAAGTACTCACATTGCCTAAAAAGCCTGAAGCTTGTAATGTTTCTTAGTTTAACCATGGGGCTGACAAATCAAGGAAACTGCAGAAAATGTCTAGAGTCCACTTAACCCGCATTGGTAACGTTACACTGCAAGCAACTGGGTCCGTACGGTATGATACACTGGAGCAGGTATCGATGGTGAGGCTGTTAAAATTCTCGTCAAGTACAGGCATCCTAAAGGACATAGCAACAGACTTAGCAACTGAACGCCATCCATTATCTGCAAAGGCCAAAACTTTTCTATGCTTAGCTTATTGGCCTGCCAGATTAACCTAACCTTAGACCAACCGAAATGCGACTGGTTTATGAAGTGCTTCTATCATAAACTTCAAATACATTTATGACTAAGTAACTGGTATGTATAGTATTATATTTGTATATTATACATTTCTTCAGTTCAAGAATTAAACAGTGCTGCTTTTGGGGAGTTGGTGGAGAGAGAGAGCTTTCGCTAAATATGCTGAATATCACAAATGAAATTCTGGAACATACAGTTCAAAGCAAATACTCAATCACTACTTCGTTTTAGAGAAATACCACACTATTTTTCAAGTAGTAGTCAAAGTTAGGATAGACGTTTGGAGAGAAAGTTTTCTTCAAAAAACTCTCCGTCATTCTTAGCGTCAGGCTATGGTACCGTATCGGCAAAAATCCTTCTTCTAGGCCTTTAAAAATTGAAGCTCAAAGACCTATGTAAAATTTCACGAATATCTGCTAAGTAGCTCTCGAGAACTTTTACCACCCGGGCCAAAACACAGTTTTGAGAAAATGAAGTTACAGGCGGCGCAGTTATCCAGTTAGCCTCGTGCGCATAAGTTCTCAAGGCTATATCTCCGAAACTATTACTCGGATGAACTTGAAAATTTAGGACAACATTCTACATGTGTTCTAGAATTTAATAAGATAATAAATCGATTTTTCGAAACCCGTAATCCCATGTAACCCCTTAAAGGCGCAATACTTAGCGCCAAAGATCACAAAATTTATTATTTATTGAAATTAATAAAAATACTGTGTCACAGAGACAGTAAACGGTAAAAAAAAAAATTAATAAACATTAAAGTCACCGGCTAGTATCTTAAACTTCAGCCTAATATGGGATCTGCAACAATAATCTTCTGCAAGTTACCACACTAACTTTTCCTCACAGCACCATAATTTTAATAAGAAAAGTGAACCTGGAAGCTACACTTCTTCATATTATTTATGTGCTATGTGAAACCTAAGAGTTTTTTCCTGCATTAAATGAATAAAACGTGAACTGCGACGCACATGTTTGCAGAGCATCTACTCAGTCATAAATTGGCGCATACCATCGACTGCTGTGTGACCCCAAACGTGAGTGCCACAAAGGTAGCAAAAGAATTTTAAAAGGGGACGCACTTACTTGCCTACTCCTATATGTGTATATACACAGATATAAAACCATATATGTACACATATGTATATGCATTATATAATATACTAAATGGTGTGCATTCACATGAACACACATAATTTAAAGTAGAAAAGCTTTATGCGCTGACGCATTGCGAGCACGCTGTTGCCAGGCAAGCTTCTTCATCGCTCTTGATGTTGTTGTTAGTGTTGTCCTTTGCCAATCTTTTCTTCTCCCCCTATAGCTTTTTTCTGTGTGTACTTTTTTGCTGCCTTTTGCACGCAGTCTCTATTTCATCTCCCTTTGGCCGCGCGCTGTTTACATCACTCAAAGTTGTCGCACACACACACAGGCACACTAAACGCAAATGAATATCCGGCTTATCGCGATTGCGTGCAACGTGCGTTGATTTCCACCGCTATTTGTGTCTATATGTTTGCTTATTATTGTTGTTGCTATTTTTTTTTTTTTTTTTTTGTTTCTTGTTTGGTTTTGTTGGCAGCTAGCTTTTTGTAGTTGCTGCCGCTGAAATGGGGGTCAACAGCTTTGCTATTGTGCAAGATGAAAGAAAAGTGTGCTGCCACTGCTGCAGCAGCTGCGTCATCAGCGTTGAAGTCAAACTTTTTAAACCACATGCGGCCAACTCGCACACATTGTTTGTTTCTTTCCACCCATATGTATATATATATGTATGTATGTGTGTTGTAATGTGATTGACTCTAGGGGTTGTTGATTATGCCTTGCTGGTTGGTTGTTGTTTGTTGTTGGGTGGGTTGCGATATTGTCAGCTTGATTAGTCGCCGGCTTTATGCCCTTATTCTGTTACTTTTATTATTACTTTTAACACTTAGGCGTTCAATTACGTCGAAAAGGATTTTTTTCGCTCTCGGCAAAGCATAGCTGTTAGCTAACTTCATGTGCAGTTGTCAAGCGCATATGGCAGCAAGCGTTCATAGCATAAAATTTGATAACTCGTAAATATAAAATGGCGTGTGAAAGCAGCAGCTTTTTTGTTTGATGTCATAACAACCATCAATTTCGGAATGATTATAGTATTAGAAAAGAATATGTGTGCTCTATGAAGATAAAATAGGTCATGAAGTGAAAAAGTACAACTCACAAATTAAAGCTTTACAGCTAGTCGAAGTAAAATAAATGCTTAGAGTTGCTACAAATTGGTTTTTCTATTCGAAAAAAATAAATTTGAAAACTTTATTCACTTTTTCTGCTTTTATTAAAATCAATCTGAAAGTCATACTTTTTGTATAGATTGAACACAGCGCCAACTCTTAAAGCTTTACCATAATTTTAGTAAAGAATTCATACCGTTCCCCTTCTATTGATAGCGGGGGGAAGATAGGCTGTCGCCTGCTTGTGATGTGATATGGCCTGGCACCTATACTAGTATTGTCGCAAAGTCACACTTTGGTATTAATAACGCGGTTAGGCATTCCTTAAACAGCCCCGAACAGCCCCCGTTTATTGAGTTCACCTCGGCTTCTACCCACTCTCAATTCTTTTGCAGGCATGTAGGCAGAGAAAAAATAGCCAGAATGTCGTTTGGCCACTCCATCTCGGTATAAATGTTCAGACGCTGGTTAATTTAGAAAATCAGATTTACGGATTTTCATAGCAAATATTGTGGATGTACGCTACCGGCGATATGTGCAGAATGACATTAAGTGCCACGATGCCACACTGAGTGGGCATGACCATGGTGACATAGAGCCAGAGAACTGCTTTCAGTTAGAGACCTCACCATTTTCCAATGATTATCTGCATCATGCCATCAAAGCTTTCTTTGCTCTCACATCAATATTATTTATCATTTCATTATAAATACCTACCTACCTACCATAGAATTCGTCTTACCAGAAAAAAAAATTATTTTAATAGTATATAGTATAAAGAGAAAACTGTCTATTTTTTGGAGTTCTTTATATGATTATAACATTATAACTTTTTTCCTGCCTTTCTAGAAACAAGTATCTCTAATAACCAGCTTATTTGGCTTAAAACAACATGGACCTCATTTTTCAAATATATTTGTCCCAGCGCCATTGGTTAGAGATTTCATTTAATTTTAATTCAGATATGCTGATGCCACATTTTTGTTTCCCTTATATATTTCGCAATTTCGTTTAAGAAATACTAACAATAATAATTTAGTTTAAATAGTGAATTAGAAATATCATTTCTTGTTCCACACTTTTGCGCTTCATGAAAAATTTATTTTACATTTTTTTAGTTAGTCTACTGGGACGATGTATCTGGATTCCCCAGCTAATTGCAAAACCTGATTGTCTTAATTTATACTGAAGTTATCTAGAACCTAACAAAAACTTTTGTAAGTTCTCGAATGGGACTTCTCACATACAAATGGCTCAATTTCCATCGATGCGTACCACATATAGATTTACTACGAATAAGTTATCGTTAAATTGGATAATTGTCAACTGTTTTGCTGACGTCTCCTTAACGGATATGCTTTGACATATACCCACCAAACACTAACTTGACTTCACACTCTGAGCATTGTTGAGAAAATTAAACAAAATTGGCTTATACCGAATTTTATCTATATTAAGAGAAAAATGTTGATTATTGATATTGAATAGGAGTGTATTTTTCATGTTAGAATTGTATAAGCGCCCAGAAATAGTACAAAAGCTTGAAACTGGAAAACCGATGAGATTGCTAAGGAAATCGCTCCTATCGCAATTGCTCGGTTTTCCAATGTCCGCTTGCGTTCCTAAACTGAATATGGATATGAGCACGGCAATCGCTAGTCAACAACCAGAGATTACGACTGCCACCTCCTTCTGGCCAAAAAACCAAGCGTAGGAGGTCCTCGGAACTATTTGCATCTAACACAGTTAATCTCAAAGCAATTGTAGGTGTTCTGATTTTACACTGCCGGTGAAACCTAGTATTTTTTCGGACGCTCCTTGCCTAAGCTGTATGAAGAAAGGCAAGTTGGAATCATGTTGTATCTTTCACCTCTATTGTCTAGATTTTGTCAAAAAGAATTGAAGCATCTCTGTAGGTACATCTAGCGAAGAAGCTAGGGTTAATATTAACCGCTTTAATATCTGTGCAAGTCAAAATCTTCAATTTTGGAGCAACCCTAAGACCTAACCTAATTAACCTTTAAGGATAATCATGAACTTATATATATACATATATAAT